AGAAAAACTATACAAGATATCAACAGGAAATTTATACAGTATCTTTAGAACTGGTCTCCCTATAGCATGAACTAGGATAATTGCGATATCTGCAATACTTGTTCTTTTATTAACAAAAAAGCAGCCGAATATATGAAAATATTCAGTATTTTTTCGTAAAATAGCTGTCATTTTGCCATTTTTTGTTTTTTTGAAAGGATCCTAGTTCATACTATAACCACACTCATCTACATTAAGAATATCGTTGATTTTTGGATTTCGGATAACTTGTTCGCAATACATCACATACGCAGTCGGGCGCCGTTCGTAAAAACTGTTTTTTGTTGATCAATAAAAACAGCGTAATCAACAGATATTATGCGTTGCAAAAATTCGTAAATATAGCTAAATATATAATAAATGTATCTACAAAACACGGAATTAATCGCTCTTTAATAGCTCGCAAAAAAAATCACAAAGACACGTATTTTTCGTGCCTACAAGGTAGAATGGCACCTTAAAGTTTCACGTCCTGTTATTATACCTATGCACGGTACATTTCAACAGGCTATAACTTCGTCAGTTTTGCAAATTTCAATTTAATATTTGGTAGACATATTTTCGAGACTACATACTAAAAGACAATGCAAAAAAAATTCAATTTTTTTAATCCCACAAAGTAGAAAGGCAACTTAAAGTTTTACGTTCAGTTATATATACCTGCGCGTGGTACATTACAGCGGGCTATAACTTCGTTAATTTTCTGAATTTCAATTTAATATTTGGTAGATATATTTTCGAGACTACATGCTAAAATAAAACGCAAAAAAAAAATTCGATTTTTCAAATCGCACAAAGTAGGAAGGCCCCTTAAATTTTATTCCCACATTGAGCCTCCATTGGTACATCAAATGTTTCTCAAATATTAGCATCGAGCACGTCCGAGAAATTGATTTATCAAAAATGAAATATTGCGCATTCTGTGTAGAGGATCCTAAGAATTGAAACATTGTAAGTAACAAGCTTATTTAAGACTAGTGCGTTCGCGTTTTCCCCGTTTCGCCTTACCGACTCGATAAGAACCGGACGATCCATCACCGTAATAATCCGTGCTCGCGTATTGCGCGCTTTTTCCCGCTGGAGATCAATTTGCAATCCTCTTCGTGTTTCCACGACTCGGACGCGGGGGAGGAGCGACGAAAAAAGCTGGTTACGCTCGCCGCCGATCGATATCCGCGCTAAATGCACCAGCGTATTCCGAACTTCCCCCTATCCCCTCTCGACCGCCATCGAGAAGTCGCCATTTTTTAAGTTACTCCGATAAGATTACCGCGGATGGAGCCCTAAGTTCGTCCAGCGATTATACTAAATCAGTAGTTCCTAAATTGGCGACCGGAGAAAGTTCCAAGCGAGAACCACGGAGCTCTGATATTTTTGTAATCGCGAGGATTTATTTTCGCCTCGCTGGCTACCAGCGTCGATTGAAAAGTTTCATGGCGCGTTCTTTTTTTTACGAACTATATCACTCTTTTCGCAATTTAATATACCGGCTCCTACCAGTTTATATCGAGAACGCTAAATGTTCTCTGAAATTATTAGTCCATGTTTGTGTGGTTAGAACACTTATTCGAAAAAAATATCTGCTTTCAAGATGGCCTTCTTCTAATTATTAAATTAATTAATATAAATAGTATATGTCATCAGTTTGTAAGTAAACTAATCAAAGGTCGTATTTCGTGTTCAACGATTGTATGCACCATCAAGATATTTAAGAAATCACTTTCTATTTTATTCTGAAAGTTACCGCATAACGTTTGGATATCAGAATTGTGTGAATGGAACGATTAGTCATGCAAATTTTATACACATTAAAACTGATATAATTGAACAATCATTGTTAAAATTATTTTGTTAAAATTTTACAAGCGATAATGTTTGACTATGTAAAATCCACATTTCTAGTTCTTTACACATTACATCTTTTGTACTAAAGGGTTTAACGGAAACGGAATTCTTATTTCGTTGTTGGCAGTAGTTAATAACTATTTTTTTATCGAACATCGGGTCAACGTGTATTCTTTGTTTCTCAGCTGGAGGGCTTGCAATTTCTCAAAGCCAATTACAGCGTAATTTTTCTTCGCCGTAATAAGGGAGACCCCGAGCAATTGAAAGATTCGCGCGATACCCGTTGCGTTCTGTTTCGTTTCCCTTTTATGCAAATGTTAGCCTCGTTAACTTGCAAACAACTTCACTATCTACCTTAAATAATTTCAAGCGGTGTCAGGAAACTCGACGAGGACTCGCGTATCAATTCCGAGACCGACAAATTAGAATGACACACGCGAGAGTTGAATAAACTCCGTTCCATCCCTTTAGCGGGCGGTTGATAGGAGCATCGCACTCGATCATCCTAATGACGTTCTCGCGTATCGACGTTAGGCTACCTATCTCTGACGGGAACTAATTTGCAACTGCGTGCCACTCTTATCGAAGCACCGGGTAGCAGTAAAAGGGCAATTATGCTGCCTTGGAACTGATACCAGCGCGGAGTGCATCTGCGAGGCGCGATGTATTATTCAAGACCTTTCTTTTACCGCTGGCAAGAGCGTTACATGCCTATCGTAAAGTTGACTGATTGAGCGGTCGAGGGGAAGAAAAGGACCACCCTTTGCGAAAGGGGTCGCGAAACCGACAAAGTACAAGGACCAATAAAACACAAAGAAAGCGACACGATTGTTGTGTGAGTTTGTGCCCCGTGGACAAAGTTAGCATTTTATTTAGGAAAAACGACCACTTGTTTTAGATTCGTTTGTAAACTAAAACCCAGCGACCCTTGTTCTCCTGCGTGTTGTAAAAAACAATTTATTAAACGGGATCCTTTTACGTACGAAACGGGAACGAAAGTTTACGAATGAGTTCCAAATTTGTACTGTTAGATTTATGAGGAATAAGTATATTTTTTTTTTTATTAAGGTTGCTTCAACTTGAGAGGTTATCGTATCAAATTTTTTATTAAGGTTTCACAGTTATTATTTACATTTATGAGTCACTATAAATAAAAAAAAAACTTGTTTCTTATGAATTGAGTTGTTCTTGAAATTGGTACAAACCCATTTTTTCGTACACTGAGATATTTAGATGTTTGTATTTGAATAAATTAAAGATTAATTATACTTTACTTTATTAATTATGAATTAAATTAAATTGAAACTGGTATAAGTCTATTTGTTCATAAGATTTATTGTGATTAATCTGAAAATCGTCGCAAGTATTATTCCAAGCATTTCCTTCGAATTTATTTCAACGTTTGGACCGATTTTCATGATCCTTAAAATGTTTGGTTATTGTTATATCGTAAGCACGTTCGGTGTTTGATATTACTATCGTCATAGGAACCTCGTGGAGTTTAATAACGATGGGGTGAATAATATAGAAATATAACTCTTACTTTTCCACTTCGGTAACTCATTAGTAACCTGATAATGAGTTATCGTAGACCGTGGCTCGTGGATAACGGCGAGTCTGCGAGCCAGCAGTTCCACGGAGTGCTGGAGATAACCTTACGACTCTTGCCGAGGGAAAAATCGTGGAGCTTACGCAGGATTTACTGTACTTAGTAGGGAAAAGGTGATCCTAGGTTTTATTGCTAGGCAGTAGGCGAGATGGAAGTCGCATTTCGCACGAAATTAAGTTATGTGTGACATTTTTTTAAAATTCTGTACTTACTATAATCAGATTAATATTTATTCGCCACGAGAGGCTAGTTCTACTCCGAATCAGGCTAAAATTAACATTTACAACGCGTCAACTTATCTTTTTACTTATGAAAATTAAATAAACGAAAAAACCTGATATACGTTTTTTTAAATTTTTCTAAATACGTCGAATGTAGTAGATTTGATAAATATATTCATCCTTTAAATTTAAACGAACAAACGAGTATGTTTAAATTTTGTAAACTGGCGAGAACATAACGGTGTGTGTTTCGTGTACAAGTGTAATATATATTTATCCTTTAAATTTAAATATACAAACGAGTATGTTTAAATTCTGTAAATTGGCGAGAACATAACGTGATTCGTGTACAGAATGTTTAATTTTTTCAAATACGTCGGGTATAGTAGACATTACAAACATGTTTAAATTTAAACATACAAACGAGACGTACACCGAATATTTACTAAACGATTGCGAAGGGTCCCACTTTGTCATCGGCGCAGTAAAATTCTGTAGACTGGCGAGAACATAACGATGTGTATTCCGTGTACACAATCGATAGTTCAAAGACTGTCCCGAATCCCGATTAATTGTGGAAATAAACTTTCCACATATTGATTGCGAGCGATTCGTGGCTAGTCACGTTCAACTTTGGTTGTCACTAATTGTCGTTCATGGCTGCTCGTCGATAATTACAACTAAATCATTCCTTTCAATGATATTCAAATACTTACATAATTGAGTTAATTCTCTCATTCGTGAATTTCTATTTCGCGAATTTCCACTCGTCCATGAAATATTACTAAAATTTACTGTTTCAAAAATTGTTCAAACAAATTAAACTTTCCCTCCCAGTAACCGAAACACATAATCGATAGTACCTACTGAGTTAACCCACTCGAGTTGCTATGAATAACTAATTTAAAAAAAAGAACAGAATAAAAGTTTATTCCGTAGCCCGATGAAAACTCAACCACGTATAACCATGTTGGAGAAAAAGTTTTATTCAAAATCGAACGCGATGTTTAAACGAAACCAGGTTTCAATGGATGGTTTCCACGACATTTGATTACAAGGAAGAATGTTTTTTGCAGCTTGCGTTTTAACGAGTGCAAACTTCAATTCGTTGGCGAGAAACAAACGAAGGGTCGCCCGAATTATTTTTCCGTGCGTCCATTAATGATTAAATTCCCCGTGTTTTTGTAATAACCGGCAAATTGCTGGTGACGAATTTGTGAAATTTCAAGCTCCGGTTCCCCCATCGTCGCGGAAGCGGTTCTTGGCTGTGAAAATTTATCGATAAAATGGCACGAAAAAAGAAAAAGGTCGGGCGGAAAATAGCGAGGAGAAAGGTTCAGAACGTAAAGCCAATGAAAATTGCTGCGCTGATCGTGTCTGCTATACAGGATCTTCGTGAAACCAAGGGTTCGACGCCTAACAAGATCATAGGTTACATAAGTTATGCATCCAATATGACCGAGGGACGCGTTAAACGACAAGTGAGTGGCTCAGAGATAATTATTATGGCATTGAAAGCGCTTTAAAAGCAATCTCGACGCGTAATTCCGGCGAAATTTAAAGTCGTAAGCTTTAGTGCTTTCACTTGAATTGGGATTATTCAATGGATGAAATACGGGCCGAATAAACGTCGTGTTGCTGAGAATCATGGCCGTTTATAACGTACTATATCCAACATAATACGCCGAAATTAGAAGTCACTCCATTGAATTTAGCAAATTAATTAGAAATTCATTTTCGTCTATCTCAACATCAAAATTGAGTTTACTAATTCATTTCAGAGATTTGTAATTTTCAATTGACAAAATTTTGATGTATTCTAACAAGCAAGAAGGGATGAGTTTTTTAGTTATATAATTTTTTCACTAATTCATTTTAGAGAATTTTTTTTACAAATGATTGATAATTTTCAATTAACACAATTTGTATATATTCTACCAAGCAGGAGAGATCATGTTTTTAGTTATATACTTTTTGTACTAATTCATTTTAAAGAATTTTTTTTATCATCAATTCAATTCAATCACTTTTTTAATTTGTACAGAATTTAAATGTTGCGTTTCTACAAACGATTAAGAATTTAAATAGAGCTATATGACTTGTTGCTTTTTTGAATTTTTTAGGGTTCTTAAGGTTGAAAATGTCTTAATTACACTTTACGAAGTTATTAGGGTCATTAAGTCTCCTTCTTCAGAGGAACTCGTAATTGAAATTAAGGTACGGTTTTAGTAATAGCACTACAGCTGTACCTTGCATCTACTATATTATATAAGTAGACATCATTTTCCACGAAATAAATTAGAAACGCCAAGAACATATCCAAATCTTAATGCATAATAATACAGAGTCGTTTCTGAGTCTGCCAAGCTTCAAAAACAAAAGTACACGTATACACATACTATTTCAAAATTAAATAAAATTAAATTAAGGCTGTTCGAAACCGTTTGCTTAAAGAACGTGTTCTGAAAGTTAATTCAACATTTCAATCGAATAAACAAAGACACGAACAGCAATCAAAGCACAGACTAGAAAAGAATAATCTTTTATCGCACAAAGCTAACATAATTAAACAAAAGAGTCATAAAAGACCAACTAAATATTGCTTTTATCTCTATAATTACTATTCTTCTACTTTTTGTTTTGACTCGAGTCTTCTGAAGGCTTCTAATTATTTAAAAATTTTTAATACGTTCAGCTGCAATGAAAAATAATTTTTTTAGAACGATTTGAAATTTTTTTCTCGAAAATGCGTAGGATTTTGGGAGTGTATCTATTCACCAAAAATGATTGTAATTGACTCCTGAAATCAAAAATAATTTTTCCTTGAATGATTTGAAATTTTTTAATTTAATCTTTTAATAACTTTTTAACGAAGCCTCAATCAACGAATGGATATTCTTGATTTTCGTCTTATTTTGGCCTCTTGAATCTCCTATTAAAATTTTTCTCAGGGGTGGCCGAACACCCTGTATATAGATGCCAACTTTTTATTTTACATTTTATTTAACGACATATCATTTCATCCGTATAAGTTAGTACAACGAATAGTACAATGAAACCACGAAGTTTCGCGAGACAAATTTTAATTCTCGGTAATTGATAATTATAGGTAAAAGCAGCGTTGAAGAGGGGCGTGGAGTACGGCATACTACGAAGACACCGACGTCATTATTTCCTTCCCATGGGTGACGAATTAGACCGTGCAAATCGCGTCGCTTTGAGATTCGCCAAATTGCCGTTACCTTCAACGTATTCCGCGAAATCGAACACGACTTCTTCTCGTAAAATTACTGCTCTCGGATGTCGCAGAAACTCGACGAGATTCGGCGCAAAATCACAAAAGACGAAACGACTGGCACGACTTCGTTCTACTTTAATCTCTCCCACGACCAGTTTGGTGGAGACAATTTGCAAGAACGGCGACATGTGAATCGACAACCATACAAATATAATTTTTAATTATAACGAACGGTAGAAAATATTCCAACTATGTTAAGCACGGTATCACAATACTCCAGGGACTCCCTTTAGGTTTTTTCCTCCTATGAAAATATCGGTTTACCGGTGAAACGGATTATTTATTAACCATTTTCTGACTTCAGAAACTATTCCTAGTCTCGGTAAATAATTGAAAAAGTTTGTCAGAATCCTTGCAGTGGATATATCGATTCGGTAATAAAAAAATATATAACAGTTGGTCGAAACCTTGGAATCGGTTTTAATTTGTAATCAAACGTATTTGAAGCTTTCGTATTTAAACATTTTGTTTCCGTCTCAAATTAAACGTTTTATAGTATTCTTTGGTTGTAATGGCAATTGTAGTATGTTTAAATGAATTTGAAATAAAACGAAAAGTGTAAAATAAATCGATAATGCCACATTAAGACTTGTATTTCGTTTCAAATTAGCTGAATTAAAATTTCAATAAATAGTGGTTTTTAAAGGTGTCTGAAAAATGAGGACAGTAATAATCGACCGGTAAAATAATACTTTTATTATTAATTAGTAAAAATTATTCACAGGGAGCGAGTGAAATAGCGCAGAATAGTAAAGAGGAAAATTGACGTTGATTAAAAGTATTTCATACGATGCCATTGTTAGGATTTCAATATCCCTAGTGAAGCAGGTAGAGTATCCAGGCTTCTTAGATAGATGAGCGGCACGATGAGACGGATGAATCGTTTTCTATTACGATATATCGATCGGTCGTGGTCGGAAAAGTCTGCAGTTCACTTGCACTCGAGTTCGTCGTGTGGTGGTGGAATTAAGTGAACTGAGGAACGAGCTTTTTTCGTAGATTGCGTTGAAGACAGCGGCGGCCGACCGGTCGCGCGCCATTTATAAAACTTAGGACCTCCTTACCCGGCCCGATAAACTTAATAGCTACCGAAATTTACGGGATTTGGCACCGCGATGAAGAAAATTTCGAACCACGCCGCTCCCCTGCGTCCCGTTCCATTATTTGCCACGCTTACGTTCGCATATTTTTCGTTACCAAGCGAATTCCATCCGGGGTTTGGGACTATTTGACTATTCAATTTGCTACTATTGATAACAAGCATGGAAACCAAAAAGTTCTGCACGAAAAATGTATGTCGACTAATATGGAATATTTCTTTAGATAATTTAATTAAAATATTACATTTTCAATACAACAATAATATTTATACGATTATAAATTCAATTGGAATTCTTTTCAACGAAATTATTAACAATAATTTACAACTATTTTGGTTTGAATCAATAATTGTTTTTAGATATGATTGTATATTTTCAAATGAAATTTAAATGTTATTTTTTTAAACTAGTATTTCATAATATTATTAATGTTGTTATATAAAGTAAAATTTTTACATTAAATTTCGAATAAAAAATTCTCTCGGTTTAGAATAATCTGTATAGACTATATTTATTATTTAGCAGATGTTTCAAACCCCAATATTTTAAATAGTTTGGTAAAATTCCAAAGGTGCCCAAGTTTTCCATAACCAAGAATACCACCTTCGTTGTTCCTTTTAATCTTTGCTACTCTTTGAGAAATTCTTTTATTTTATACTTCTATTTTGATAAAGACAGGAATTATTACATTTTTCAGCTGTAAGTAGCTTATGTTATCAGTTTACATTAATGCTATGGAACGCGTGGAATATTTACCACAAATTTCTCTTGGCAGTTTAACGAAGAATAACGTTTTTAAAAATTGGTTAAACGTTTTTTAACCAGTGTTGAAAGAACGGTAGGATTCTTCGAGACTTTTTTAATTGAGCTCCAATTCTAATTTAGATCTGTTTCCGTTAATGGGAGAAGGATTCGTTACATGTTCCCATGAAACAGATTTGCACGGTTCAAAGACCGTCGAGAGTCAGAGGATTGTCTGCATTTATTAATGTAACAGTCATACATTATAGTCCGGATGCGAATTTCAAACTAGTTTCACATACCAATGACCAACCCCGGCAGTTACGTGCAATTACAAAGTTTGAACAATATCGCTGCTAAGGAAACTTCCAAATTGTCCCTCCATCGTCTGCTTCAGTCGTTCTATCCACATAATGCTTTATTACCTTTATTCCTCCAAATGCAGCTCAAGTATAAACAAGACTACTTTTTAAAACTTGTTGGACGAATGAAGCCTTCATTATTAATCAATACTTCATATTTAACATACTAAATTGATTTAAAACTCGAGAATTTATAAACGTTTTTCTTCTAAAATTATAAAATTAATTTTGCATCTAAACTAAAACATCTATCAACTATGTTTTAATTAAAATAAAAAAAGAATATATTGTCGTTTTTTTTGTGAGAGAATTTATTTTCGTGTTATTTGTAAAAATTGGGCGTATTCCAATTTGTATAAAAACGTTGCGCGATACAAATATTCTCCAAAAAAAAAAAGTGTTATTTGCCTCGACGATTTGAAGTCGGTTTCCATTAAATTCCAGTGAAACAACGTAGGCAATGTCGGCCTATAATCCGTGAAAGCACAGTCCAACTATGAACAACGAGTGGCCAGGAACAATTTGAATCCGTTTAAATGGTAATTCTGAAAGCTAGTTGGCACCTAAACTCACTACGATATCGATATCGTACCCAATATATTCAAACTACGCGGGGAGCCAGTTTGCGACTAGACACTTTTCCTGTACAAGCTTCCGCATTTTTGTGAAAATTTGGCGACATGTCAAAAAATGAAACGCGTAACATATGCGAAAACATATCGTCGTTCTTCGCTTGTTCCTCGAAAAGAGCTTCTTCGATGAAATTTCATTTGATTCACGTTACGTTTGTCCGTGACAATTTTAAATACAATAAAAATACATTTCAAACTAGATTTTAAAGATTGTAAACATTTTGTTCGGGAAGACTAAATGGAAGTGTCAGAAATGATTAGTGAAATTATTTCAAGAAATACTCAGGAACAAATTAAAAATAAATAGTTTTAAATTAGAAATTAAATTTTGTACCATCTTTGGAATTCTTAAAAAATATCCAGTAAAAAAATTGCTTTAAAACAATTCTCATTCGAACAACTTTCAAATTTATTTTAACACTAAATCTACAGATATTTCATGTATGCTCATTCCTACCATGAAATTTAAATTTATTTTCATTTAAATAAACGATGTATAATTAATAGGAGTTGTTGAAAATTCGTTAGGTGCATAGCGTCAAAGTTGATGTTAAAATAAATATAGAAGATAGCATAAATGATAAAAGTAGTTATAGTCATTGGATAGAGGATGAAATACTGTTCAAAATGAAATTTGTTTCTAGTCGATAGCATAATTAGTTCCGGAGATATAAGGGTTCGAAGTGTTTGTTTACTTTTCATTGTTGACGTCGCGAAGGCAATGACCTCACGTGTAAAGTAAATATCAAAATAAATATAGAAGACAGCATAAATGATAAAAGTAGTTATAGTCATTGGATAGAGGATGAAATACTGTTTAAAATGAAATTTGTTTCAAGTCGATAGCATAATTAGTTCCGGAGATATAAGGGTTCGAAGTGTTTGTTTACTTTTCATTGTTGACGTCGCGAGGGCAATGACCTCACGTGATTGCAGTAAATAGTAAACATTACGTCGAGACAGAGATAGACGAATTAAAAAAATACACTTTCCTTTACACGACGATATTTCCATAATCCAAACGCCATTTCAAAGAGGAAGCTTTACCGATTCTAACAGTGGCTCAATTATTAACAAAACATTAGTAACTTCAGAACTGCACGCGTCTAAAGTTTTATTATTTTTCATACGCGTTGTTAAACCGGTAGACAAATTATAACTAAGATTATACGTTGAACTGATTTTCCATTCTGCTTTTATATAAAAAATACGCAACTACGATGAACTTTAGTCGACTCCTAAACCCGAATCACGGAAGCAAGACCCCCGATATGAAGTTAAATATTTCTTCCACCAACCAGGATTTCTATTTACGGGCGAAGATAGAACGATGAACGCTTCTGTAAATGTTTCTGTTTTCCTTCCCGTGCTAAAAGGACCTGCGAGAAGATCTCGCATCGGATATTTCGAATGAGTAATGGTAGTATTTATCATCAGTTCTTCACAGACGTAAAATTCTCAGAGGTACGGTTTCCATTTTCATTTTTTAGAATGAATAAAAATGTCTATTCCCCGAAGGACTAGGGATGTATCGTAAACAAAACGACAAAATATGATGCTTTTATTTTTTTCACGCGATAACGTGTCAGACATCACGGTTTTTGACACCTCCAATACTTATTTCGATAGCTGTCACAGTTGTTTACGCGATAGGTTGTAATTTTTCTTATTTCTTTTTGCTATTCCACATACCTCTTTCTGTTCTTTATATCTATGCTTTGGTCTGTGTATTGTTTAGTTTTCGGAACAATTACAACTGCAAAATAGCTAATAGAAAAGCAATCCTGAGTATTATTTAATATTTCTTCCCTGAAAGTACATATAATTTCTCAAATAAATACAATAGACTTTGAATACCAATAGATTATTATAACATTCTTAAAACTTTCGACTTATCAAAATTAGTCTTTTTTCTCAAACGTTATATGCACAGAAAAATATTCAACGCAAATTAAAAATTAATGCAAACAGAATACAAACAAGATTATTTAGGTTATAATACATTGATATTAATGTTCTAGAGTTAATTAAACCATTTTACAATTTGGTCCATGGGTTTCCGACCTATTAGAATTTTTACTTGAAAAGGTCCACAAGCATTCTGTTCAATAAATTGTCTGTAGAAAGTCGACAACTTTTTTCTAATTCAACTATCAATGTTAAAAGCAAAAACGTTTGAAAGTAATATTTGCGCTAGACTTGCCCGACGCGAACGGCTTTTGTGTTTGATTTATACTTGAAATTGTCTGTCCGATAATATCCGCATCTGTCAGAAGCAGGAAATATTTCAGAGGATT